ATTAGTATATTGGATAATTATTTAATTTTTTGTTGGTAAAAATCATTTAATTCGAAATTAATGAATTTGAAAAATAAAAAATTACATGAGTGAGCCAATTTACAAATTTTATCACGTTGTTTAATTATTTTTCACATGAGGCATGTGGACACCTTATATGCTGAGTACTTAAAAAATTGGAAAAATAGATATGATAGTTCTTGTACTTTTATCAAATTTTGAATTAGGTTTTTTTTAATCCTTATTATTTATTCTGTTAATATTATGAATCCTTTTGTTAATTTAACTTGACACCGTCCGCCCCGTCTCTCTCCTCTCTTACTGTTCATATCTGCTCTCTCCATCTTCCATACCCCATCTCCACTGCTTGCGATTTGATTGTCTCTTTCTCCGGATCCTCAATTGGAAGGTCCAGATTCATAATCCAAACAATTGGTTTATAGAAAGGATTGAAGGTCGATTTTGGGAAGGGGTTGGGGAAAATTAAACTTTTAGGATGAGGATGGTGAAAGAGTGGAATGGTTGAGAATTGAAGAGATTGGGGGGGCTTCAGTAGTGGAGAAGAGATGGGCAAGGTGCTCATGGGCTTGAGGATATGACGGGTGGCTATACGCACCCGGGATAACAGAAGGAAGCTGAGAGGGAAGAAAGGAATGGACAGCGCCAACTTAAACTAACAAAAAGGACTCATAATATTAACAAAATAAATAATAAAGATTCAATAAAAAGAAAAAGAAAAACATGACTCATAATATTAACAAAATAAATAATAAGGATTCAATAAAAAAGAAAAAATTATAAGGATATAATTCAAAATTTGATACAACTATAAGGACTATCATATCTATTTTTCCTTAAAAAAAATTGCTCTCGAAATGGGCCGATCAGCTTAGCTTGTGAAGTGATGATCCTATCTTTCTATTATTTTGGGATTGTATGAATGAATGAAATGACCAAAACCCAAAACCTCATCTTATGGGTATTTGGATTAACTTTTTGGAAGTAATTTTACCATCAATTCATAATTTGATCTTTTAATATTTTTCATGTCTTTAGACATAATCTAATAAAAGTATTATTCATTAAATTTGTAACGCAAATTCGTGACTTATCAAAATTTAAGACAATCCTATGATAATTAGAACTTTTACCTTGAAAGTTGCTATTGGGAAGATATAGCCACTGAAGTTTTGTCAGATTTCCAATGTCAATTGGTATGTTTCCTCTGTTGAATTTGTTATCTCCCAATTGTAATTCTAATAATTCTGTGCATTGATGCCAAGTGGAGGGTATTTCACGAGACAAATCATTTCCATCCACATAAAATATTTGTAGCTTTGGAAGGCTAACACACACATTTGTTGGGAGACTCTGAGATAAGTTATTTATTCCAAGATCAATCTCTTGTAGTACTGAATTGTTGAATAATAAAGATGGTATTGGACCGACAAGTTCATTATTTCCAAGATACAATGTCTTCAATTGTGTAAGATCCCCAATCTCACTTGGGATGCTCCCTTCAAATATCAGAGGGGAAACAAAGAGAATAATATCAGTAACAATTTTTATTTATAATAAGTTATTATGTACATTAGACAAATTTGTATTTTTTTAAAAAGACATATAGTTAGTTAGACCTGCACATTTTTTAGAAATAACACAAATTTATTCTAAATGATAAATCACAACTACAACTATTATTGTCAAAAACGAATAACCCTTTCAATTTGGCTGGGCCATTCACCATACAACAAAAAATTTGGACATGTGATTTGTTGGAAAATTTGGATGGCTTAGTGTTGGAGAACATAGTGGGCTATTCCACAGGCCCAATGCACTGTGTTATCTATTCGAATTTTGTGGATTAATTAATTCAGATTGAGTTTCTTCAATGAAAATTAGAGAAACAAGCTAAGAGACACATCGAAATCCAATTGACCCTTACTTTTCATCATGAGACTCCCAGAAAAATAATTCTTGTTAACTAATCATCCGGTCCTAAATATAAGACTCATTTTGTAGTGTAATTTACACTACAAAATGAGTCTTATATTTAGGCCGAGATGATTACAAAATTTTTTTTAAAAAAATTAATTTAGATTATCCAAAACAAAATTAAATGTTCCGAGTATGTTTCTTCTAAGACTTACTCATTTTGAAAAAAAAAATCATTCAGAATCTTTTTAATGACAGAATAGTCAACATTTATTTTCAAAGATTGATGATGAGCCTTTAGATCTGCTAGGATTAACATTACCCCAACCGTTTTAAAAATTGGATGACGAATTTTTAACAAAAAAATAATAGAAAAATTCTGAAAAAAAATAAAAAATGCACAAAAATATAAAAAAATATAAAAAACAATTGAGACAAGCCCATATTTCTTTAAAAATACCTAACAAACTGTTAAAAGATAGATGAGTTAAAGAATTGTACGGATCCAAAGTGATAGAAGATTTAAGATTAAAAAGTGCAGATTTATCAGCAGAATAATGTTTGTCTCTGTCCAAGTTAACAAGAGAAAAACAGAGGCGAGATTTTTTTTTTCAATGTTTCGCACTGCAGAATTATTAAAAAAAATTAGTTGGATTTAAAAATATCCCTAAATTTATATAAACGGCTAATTACTAAAGACCCAATAAAGAGATAAGATACCATTAATGAAAGTCAAAAGTAACCCCCCCTTTTAATGTCTTGTTGTGACCCTAAGTATGGAGGTCGAGCTAATTTGTTAATACTGCTAAGATTATTTATCTAAAATCATTTTTAGAACATTGAATCATCATCTTAATCATTTTAAAAGAGCCACCATCCTTGAAAGATATATATAAATTATTTTTCAGCATGTTGTTTTTTTTCTTGGATCGATGTGAGACTCGTTGACAAATTCGAATGAACTGTCTCTGTATTAGAAAACAAAAACTTAAAAAACTTGCAATTAAAAAGAAAATATAGGGGAAAATGAAAAATAAGAAGCTGGAAAAAACATTGAAATCCCAGCTAACACTTTTTATCATCCTTATCGGGTTATTTTTTATGGGGCTTCCTGTTTGATGATTCAATATTTTACCGATTTATGAAGATTTTAATTTTAAGCAAGTTATGATCCCACCTTTGCATGTGTGTGAAACTTCTGGCATGAACTAAATGACGAATAACAAAATCTCAGTTAATATTTATTTCGTGATTTATTGGGGAAAAAAAATCGATGACTCTATTGGGTTATCCTACAGGCCCATTACGCATTAATTCTGATAAATTCTTATATGCTATATGAGCTGTATCCACCTCACTGCAAAGATAAGGTTATGAGTTTCTTCGATTAACTGTGATTAAGGAAAAAAACTAAGACACACATCGAAGTTGATTGGCCCATACTTTCCATCATGAGACTCCTAGAAAAAATATTTTTGTTAACTACACAATTTTTAAAAAATAAAATTAATATACAATTTAGATTGTTTAAATAAAAATTAAATGTTCTGAGTATGCTTTTTGCTAGGCTTACTCATTTTTGGCAAAAAAATAAAACTTCAGAAAATTTTTAATAACGAAATAATAAACATTTATTTTCGAAGACTGATTATTAGCTTTTAGATCCGTTTGGACTGATATTGCAAGTTTATAACAATATTCTTTTGCCCATGGTCTATGACTTCACTATCCATTTTAAAAATTGGTTGACAATTTTTTTTAATTTAAAACAGAATAGAAAGATGCTGGGAAAAAAAAAAGAAATGCACAAAATATTCAAAAAATAAAAAAAAAACAACTGAGACAAGCCCGGATTTCTCTAAAACATATTTAACAAACTGGTAAAGACAAATAAGCTAAGAAAATTTGTCATCATCCTTGTCACGTTATTTTCCTTGCTAAGAAGATTTTTTAAGCAACTTATGACCTCACATTTACATGTGTCTGAAACTTATAATATGAACTAAAGGATGGGAAGCAAATCAGAGTTCGAATTTATTTCTATTCCAAAGAGTTAAAAAAAAAAAAGCACAGTATTAGACACATCAGCACACATGGTACTTATAGATTCTGAAAAGTATACCATTTAATTTTATTCATATTCACTTTGTGATTGAAAGAAAGCATCATATTCCATGTCTTTAAAAGCAATTTAGCAAAATCACCACGTAATTAAATCGCTAAGCTGATTCCCATATATACTGTATTTTTACTTTTCGTAAAGATAAGATACAATGATTTTAGTTGAGAAAGATCTCTGATCTCAATAACAATGTTTTTTTTGTTTTACGTGTGACAAGTTATTATGTACAAGAGACAATATATATATATGTTAAAATACAGTAAGAGTTGCACATTTTTTGAAAAATAACAAAAATATATTCTAAATGATAAACCACAACTACAATTATTATTTAAAAGGTATAATCCTTGTTCTTCATCTGGGCCAATAGCCATTGATTAAATCCATTGGATGGACTCATGGTGATTGACATTAAGAAATATATTAAAATCCAATCGGTCCTTCCTTTTCATCATTCCTATTAAAAACCTTTTTTTTGGGAGACTCCCAGAAAAATTATTTCTGTTAACTCTGAAAACTTTTTTAAACAACAATAATTATTAATAAATAATAAAATAAAAATAAAAATTAGATTATCCCATTCAAAATTAAATGTTCCAAATATTTTGTTCTAAGGTTTACTCAACTTTAAAAAACCCTTTAAAAATTTTTAATGACAGAATAATAAGCACATATTTTCAAAAACTTATGACAAGCCCATTATTAGATATGTTATTACACTCGTGGTGTGACTGTATAAACTGTTTCATGATTTTGATGATGAATGGTTTTTTCCCCTTAAAAAATAATAGAAAAATGTTGGCAAAATTAAAAAAATTCATAAAAATAACAAAAAATTAAAAAATTAAAAACAGTCAATAGAACTAAGATAAGATTATGCTAACCAAATACGCTACTTTAAAACAAAAACAAATATAAATATTAGAAATAATCAAAGACATACCTGACAAACTGTTATAAGACAGACTCAATGACTCAAGTGAAGATAAGTTGGAAATTGTTCGGGGAATGTTTCCTAAAAGCTTGTTACCCGCAAGACGTAAAATGGTCAATTTCTCAAGTCTTCCCACCTCAAGTAGAATGGTCCCTTCAATGGAATTAAAATTCCAATCCAATGTCTCTAACATTGTCAGATTGAATAGAGATGGTGGAATAATTCCATTAAGACTATTATTTCGAGGATTTAGTTTCTCAAGTGAAGATAAACCTCCTATCCCTGTTGGAACTTGCCCATAAAAGTCATTGCAGCTCAAATTGAGTAGTTCCAATCTATGCAATTTAACTAGCTCGTTTGGTATTTGATCATGAAAATCGTTGTCACTGAGGTCAAGTTCAACAAGGAACGAGAGATTTCCTAGTTGTGGAGATATGGTACCCTTAAGATCCATGCCACCAAGATTCAAGGAGTGGACTCTTCTGTGACGAGTATTGCATGTGATACCAATCCAGCTGCATGGAGAAGAAGAGACAGACCAATTAGCTAAGAAATTGTGTGGATCTGAAGTGATACAGGATTTAAAGGCAAGAAGTGCAGATTTGTCGGTAATAATATTTGTATCACTCCAAGCTAAGAAAGCCATGAAGGAATGGAGTGAGAAGAGGAAAACAAAGGAAGAAGGTCTTCCCATTATGTGTAGCATAATAGACTTATCAAAATCTCTAGTATTCGCATCCAAGAATTAACATACACGACGTTTTATACTTCTTCGATTCCAAATCAAACAAATTGCGTAGTTGGAAAAGGACATCTTTCGTGATAAGGTTAGAAGAAATTCAACTAAAAATTAATTATTTTGCTTGTGGTCGCGTGTGGCAGGCTATGAAATAAGGAGAAGCTTTGCCATTTAATTTCATTGCGTGTTGAACAATTTCATTTTTGGGACCCCACTTTTATTATTGAAAAGAAGCTTGCATACGTGGATACATTGTTCCTTCAATATTTTTGCATTTTCTTTTCTATTGTTTTTAATTTTTGGGTGAGACAGTTATTCTTTTCTTCAAATTAACTACCATGCATGAAATCTAAATTGATGAAAGAAATTTGTGTTTTGTATTATTCCTCTTTCCCATTACATGTGGTTGATTCAATTAATCAATTTATGCATATTTTTATAAGCTTGCAGTTAATGATTCAAGGAAACTACTGTATATTTTAATACATATGAATATTGAAATTATCATTTGATAAAAGATTTGCGAGTAGAGCAAATAATAAAAATGTTAGATACAAATTATTAATTACTAATGTGTGTGTAAATATTTATATTAGTGGTTGACTTTTCAAACATTAAGTCATCCAAAAAAGAAAAATAAAAAAGAAAGAAAATGACATTAGTGATGAGGATAAATTTTAATCTACAAGTAGTCTGGTATCACATGGAAGACCACATTTTTATTTTCATTGATTTGGTCTAATATGAGAGAGTTCCAAAAGAACGTCGGTAAGAAGAAACATACGCGTCCAAGACATCACACTCCATTTCATAAGAAACTACTTCTAAATATCTCCTCTTGTATGGATATTTTATTTTGTTGATATCATCTTGGTCCAAAGAAAAATAACACTTAAAAATGCACGTAAATAATACAACTTTATGTATATTGGGATACATTGGGAAAATCTGAATCACTGACCTCTATATCGACGCCTAATTGGTTAAGAATTTATTTAGTTACTCTATAAATATATAAAGCCAAGAATTTTATTTTTCTCAGTAAACCAAAAGAAATCTCTCTCTATCTTTCAATAATTAGACAGACAAAAATGTTGATTCCTCTTTTCATCGCACTCCCTCTCTCTCCCTCCGTTGCCAAGTCAAGGCACGCACATAAATAGAAGATTAAGGCTATGTTTGGATTGCAGTTGGAGAAGCCAAAAGCACACGGGAAAGCGTGAAACTGAGGTTAGTGGCTTATTGCAGCTTAGAAGATTGTTTGGATGGGACTCCTTTTCTAACTGATTTATGGGAAAAAGTAACTTTTCTAACTGACTTATCCAACGTAATCTGATCAACTTTTCTAATTGACTTATGGAAAAATTGTGCAAAGCTTACGATCTAATTAGTCATGTGATTTCTTTTACTTTAATTAGAGACCAAATAAATTTTAATTTATATTCTTATTTATCCATTATGTATATTTAATTAATTATCTACAATGTGTTTTCAAATTTTTCTCCATAACAAATATTTTTATTTTATAATCTCACAAATAAACTATTTATATTTTATCATAATAATTTTACGTATTTTTTAAACTATTATCACATTAAAAATATTAAATTTCAAACACTACTATTCAATAAAATCCATACCCTTTTTAGTCATTTACAACTAAACTAACTTTTCTATTAATTATTCAAATAACTTTTAACTTTTTCAACTGACTTTTTATAAGCACCTATCCAAACATAAATCATATTACACTAACTGACTTTTACTCTAATTTCAGTTATAAAAGTCAGTTAGACTATAAGTCAGTTTTGTCCAATGCCAATCCAAACATACCCTAATTATTAGTGTGGGGACTTGAGTTTTTTTCATTTTTTTATTTTGAAATTAGTGTTTAACTTTCAAAAATTTAAAATTTAGTTTAACAATACAAATCATAGATGTCACAGGTTTTATCTGGCCAGCACATAAATATCACTTTTTATCTTTGATACTTTGCGCATTTATGAATATAGCCGGAGTCTTTAAACGTTGAGGAACTCTTCCCCCTACCTCCCTCCATCTGAATTTTGAATATTCTAAAGGTTTTTCTTAATATTATTAATAGATGAATATGTAATTAAATTGAATTCATTGATACTTTGATATAAAAATTTTATGGAGTGATGAATTATGATAATTTAGGCAAGCCAAAAATAAATATATGAATAGATTATATGGATTTTTTTTAAAAAATCCCAAAATAAACAAAAATGTTATAAATATTTCATTCGTTCTAGATCGTCTTATTCTTTTTCTTTCTTTTTCCTTTTGGCGTAACTGATCTGTAGTTTGGACTCTGGTGCTTTAATGGGGTCTGAAAAAGTAGCGTAGAAAAAATGGTTATAAGGATGAGAAGATATTCTTCTTGCTAAAAAAAAAAGAATATAGTATCTTTTGTCACAACAATATAAATAAAAATATGTTACGTACAGTTTTAGTATTATGACTGTAAACCAATATTATTTTTTTAAAATATTAATTTCGATGTAGTCTCAATTTGCAATTGTTCAACGAGCGTATAATCTACTTTATTAAATTGAGCCTTCAATTTATTTTAATTAGGGAATTTTCAAAATGAAAATACATCCACAAAAATAAATTTATAAATAACAGCTAAGTGTAAAATTGTACTTAGAAATACTTTAGGATGTTGGAGTCTAGATGCACCTAAAAAATACTTTGAAGTGCTGGACAAACCACAAAATACTTTAAGATATTTGATGCACCTTTACCCTATAAAAAAAATTAAGATCTCCAAAATGGATATATAAGTAAAAGCTGAATTTCTTTAAGACTAGCCAAACAAAGACGTTGACAAAACACTAAATCAAAATATATTCATGTTAATAACCCAACAAATAGTTGAGCATAAATGAAATTGGCACGGTAGACTATTCAAACATTAAAGTTGTTCCCAAAACAAGTTGATTAAATAAGGGAGCTAAGAAAATTACGTCAGTGATGAAGAAAAGTTTTGATCCTATAAGTGGTCTGTTATCACATAATTAAGGACTATATTTTCATTATCATTTTTATTATACAGGTTATAAAGTAACCCCATGAAATAGGTTATGAGAAATAAGAAGAACGAAACTTTGTCGTCTCTTCAGAAAATATAATTCCACTTCTTGGGTCACATTTTCATTTTCTTGGCATTATTTCATTTATGGTCAATCTTGTAGGCCATATATATAGATGATACCTCCAAAAGAACATTATTACTATTGAGAAGAAGCATGCATCGACAAAATTGTCCTTACCCTTCGCAACATATCTATCAAAAGTCTACAATCTTTAATTCATTGGATGGATGCATTGGTACATGGACTGCTTGACTTGTAATTAGACCTCAAAGTCACGCTCTATTTCACATGAACCAACTCACGTGTGCGTGTGTTTGTAATTTTAATTCGGTAATACCATTTTAGTTTACCCAAAGGAAAATACAACAATTGACTTCAAAAACACATGAATAGTTCATAATTTAATGTTCAATGGCTTTGAAAGGAACACGAATCAAGTGGTTTTATGCTGAAATTGGTTGAATTTCATGATTGTGTAACTTGAGGAAATGTTTCGGCTAGACCTGGTTCTTGTGCCTAGGATGTGATTTTGATGCTTCCAATGTGTTTAAAATGAAAATTTGTGTAGGGATAAGATGAAAGAATGAAGTTGGAAGCATTGGAATCAAAACTGAAAATTAAGTGGCAGATTTTGTTTTTGGCCTAGAACCAGGGGAAGGGATTGAAGTTTGATCAATCTAATCTCATATTTGGATTTCTTGGGCAAAATTGTGTAGGATTGGCCTAAGGGAACAATTTTGACAAAGCTAGAACACTACATTATAAATTAAGGAATAAGGGAGTAAGTTTGAGGACTTAAGTCTTCCATATTGTGTAATTTTTGATCCTAATGAGTAATGTGACCCTTGTGACTGTGATTAGGATCTTGAGACATTCAAGAGAAGGTTTGGATGCGGTTGAGCAAGCAACTTTAATGGTTGGAAACAAGAAGGGAGTAAGAAGAAGGCTTAATGACACAAGGTAGCAAACGTGACCTTACTCTTATGTGCTTGGTATTTGCTTGTATGTATAACATGTTCTGTGTTTATATGATTTTATGACCTCATGCATTGTGATTATGAATATGTTTGAAATGTGTCATAGGCCTATATGTTTTATGGTTAATGCATGATGATTTCCAAACATGTCACTATGTTATAGAAATGTTAAGTTGCAAGCATGTTATGAATGCCAAGCTTGTCATGTATGTTTGGGGTGGTTATTGTTTGCTATTGAGATTCTCCCGAGTCTCACCCTCCCTTAACCAATCATAGTAGGTCAAATGATAAAGAGAAGGCCTGCATGAGGAAGGGCAAGAAGATGGAAGCAAAGAAAGTGGAGAATTTACATGCGTTTCAATATAATGATTGACATCGCTAATTATGTAATTAATTGTGGATGTGTCAAGCATGAAATGTGATGTAATGTTTGATGTATAATGTAATGGCATGCAACTCAAAGTATATGAATGAATGGGAATTCATTAATTACCTATTTTAACACTTAATATATTTATTATCTCATTTTCGAAACTATCATATTTCCATCACATATTCTCTCTTCTTCATAATTCTCTTTATTATAATAATTTTCCTATTCTCTTTCTTATACTCCCTCCCTTTATAAATAAGGGCTTTTTAATTTGTACACATTTATTGTCCTTAACTAATTTTAACTGATAGTTTGATCTAATGGGACGGAGGGAGAATAATCATTGGCAAAAAAAAAGGTAAAACATAATTTATTTTCCTTCAATGTAGTCATAATCTCTTCCACTAATAAATCAATTTGTTATTATTATAAAATAATTTATTTCTCCTAAAGTATTTATTTTTGCTCAGAAGTCGGATTAAA